TTTGTCTTCAGGTGGGTGGGGACACAAGGAGTTCTCAGAAAAGTTATGTTGCTCCATAGTAGGGAAAGTGAGATCATCTTTTAGATGTGTTCTTTGATGCTTCCATTGCTGGAAATTAAGAACAACGCGAAGGAACACTATGGACTGCTACATGCCAACATGAAGGTTATATATATGTGTGGATCCATTTCTAAGGTCTGGAGGCAGTGGTGTACTTAGAAATTTTCATCCGGGGCGAGCTCGCATGGTCTATCTCAAGCATATCATAAATGATGATAAATGATGACCACATTAAGAAAACTGTAAAATTAATTATAAATAACCCAGTTCGACTTGGATCAGATTTTAAGAAACTAAGAATAAAATGAAAATGTATTGTTGTAGTTGAATAATAAAAAAGGTAAATGAATGATTGTCATACAAAACTTTCTAAAAAGAGAATTGAGAAGAAAAGTGACATCCCAAAAAGAAAAGTAACAAGAATTTTCAGGGACAAAGGGAATATGACATACTACGTAGTAGTTAACGTTTTCGTAGTAGATTAAATTTTACTTTGCTAACAAATAAATTTTAATCAGATAATTTGTAGGATATAAATTGCGCCCACACTCTCACGTCATGCTATTTTCATGGAATACATCATATCACTTGATTCACTTCTTAATTACCTAATCAAGTGATCTCAAGAGTGCTTTGCTTCAGTCACGTATTTCATATAGGTTGACGGATAGTATATTCGGGGATACCGCTGAGAGATATCTAGAGAGAAGTCAGAACAAGTAAGAGACAGAGAGTGAGTGTATATTAAATGAGCTCAAAGACGTTCGATCTAGGATCCTTTACAATGAAGAATTGGCTTGCTATTTATAGCAGCCATAAATCCTAGGTGTAATTAATGCGGGTACACGTGTCAAGTAATCAACGGTTGAGGGTCAACTCAGCCAAGGTGGCACCGGCATAGCATGTGGCACTGCACTTAATGCGGTGGTTGGACGTGACATCGCATTTAATACGGCGATCCAGAGCGTGAAGAGAGAAGATCTTGTCGGGGTAGTGCCCTCGGCTACATGGACCCGAGGGCTGTATGTACCGAAGGCTGACGTTTTTTGCCTTGGATTCCTAGTTGTGTTTCTGGACCACGTATGATCGATTTCCTGAATATGAAGCCTTTGGTCATGTGGCCGAAGGCTCTACCCCTATATAGCATGGGCTGTTCGGACTCTTTCTGCTGTGTTTGGGCCACTTGGGCCTGTTGGGCCTATTTGTAGTAGTGGAAGTATGTTGGCCGGGGTCCTTGGGCCATATACTCCATCATAGGTGTTCATCACCTACACTACACCAACGAGAAGAAAGGAATTACTAGAAATAGAAATTGGCACAAATTGCTTATTTGCTAATATTTTCAACAAGTTGTAGGCTTTAGCTAGAGTTACATCAAAGAAAATGTACACAAGTCTAATACTGGAAATTCATATACGGAGTATTTTAAAGTGATCTTCATATAAGCGTACATCTTTATCCAGAGCTTTCAAATTCTCCTGAAAACTGTCTAACCTATACTCTGTTATAAAATGTATTCACATAATATGAAAACAAAATTCCGCCACCATTATTTATAGCCAAGTACCAAGAACTAGCACAAAACTTTTTCATCACTATATGCCTAAAGTACATACCATACAACTTTTGCATAATCACCTGTTTTTGTTAATGTGCAAAATGTTTTGTGTACGATAGGAATCCGAAAAAACACATGGAAACAAAACATTGTACATCAATTTAAACTCGTTTTTTATACATCATCATCATTATCATTATCATTATCATTACTCCAGTATCGCAAAGGCTTTCACCTGCGGTGGGGTAAGGGGGGTCGGATGTACGCGATTTTGGCACTGTACTAAAGCACATAGAGATGATTTCCGGATGACCCATAGTGAAAATCACGTCAAAATTTGCATGGACTGACTGTTGCTTCATAACAAAGAAGCGTAGACAGTTTAGTGAGCCCATTTGCTTTATTCCATCATATTCACAAGCCAAAAAATAGTGAGTCTTTGGCTCCATTGCAAATGATGAAAAAAAACTCGTTTTATATACATATTTAAAAAATTGTAATAGGGTCTTATTTTACTTGATACTACGTATTTTTTAAGGTAAAACCAAGACAAGTTGGTATGCCTATTTAGTCACTCCTTCAAGTTCTAACGTTTCAAATTTCAAGCATAGCCTTTGTGTTTCCATGAAGAAAGATAGATTCTAGAAATTTATATATACATACACAAAATTTGAACTAAATCATAGTGGCATATGATGGGTGTGTCTCGAAAAAAGCGAAGAACTATTAATTAATAAAAATAATTAATTAATTAATAAAATAGCAAAAGAGAAATAGAAATAAGATGGAGCAGATTTTAGCTAGAGCTCGTGCTACGCACGATGTCCTTAAAACGTATTCGTCGCCTCCCGCGGTGCTAGGAGCGTTGCAACGACCGTTTCTCAGGATACGGTGGCTAACGAACGATCGTTTGAGCACACAAACGAAAGTCTCGGCGAACTGGAACAGTAGCAAAACACTAGGGAAATTTTCAGAGAGCTGAAGGTGTTTTTGAGAGCTACAATACGTGTATGATTGCTTGTGAACGTGTGTTTGTTGCAAACCACCTGTCACATATTTATAGGAGGATTTGTTGTGTATTAAATGGGGTGTTAATGGACCTGAACGTTGGACATCAATGACCAGTCCATTGGGCATTGAATCGTCCATAAACTGTCCATTTAACGCAGCATTGAAAGAGAAGAACGTTGGGCATTTATTGCTGTAACGGACCAGAAGACCTTCTGGTGCGAACATAATACCTTCACCAGAACACCTCGAGGTGTTCTGGTCTGAAGCCACCAGAAGACCCCAAGGCCTTCTGTCCGGAAGCCAGCAGAAACCCTCAAATAATTGCCCCAAAATAACCATTTAATGCAGTTTTTAACACATTTTTCCAACAACATATAACCACAAGATGATTACATCTTAGTTATTCTATTCTTTCAAAAATTATTCAGAAAAAGAACACAAATTCTTGTCCTATAATAGCTGTCCCCCTTTCTGCCTGCATTTAATGTTTATATCTTGAAGAGTTTTATAGTTCTAATCTAAAAACTGAAATGCTCAGCTAAACCAAGAAAAATAGGAATACACAGTCTTCTAACCAATGAATATATATTTTGAAATCTGATAAAGGAAAAAAGGCTGTTAAAGAACACTTGTTTTGGGGACTAAAAACTAAAAAAAAAAAAAAAAAAAAAAACTAAAAACTAAATTGTATGTACTGTAGTTTATCTAGATCTACTAGTTGGAAGATGGTAACTAGGGATGGCAACGGTGCGGATCGGGGACGGGTACACATAAAACCGAAACTGCCCCGTTAGTTAAATGGTTGCCCCGAAACCGCCCCATTACCCGTTCGGGTAATTTTTATTTGAACCGTAATCGCCCCAACGGGGAATCGGTTTATCCACGGGTAACCGTTTGCCCAAATGATACCAAATAACCAATTTCTAATCCTACTTGTTAATGTAAACATCCTTCGTGATAAATTATAAATTATATATTCAAAGCACCATAAACATACAAAAGTAAATATTCAAGCAATCAAGCAGTTTTAGACCTAAATTAATTAGTATGACAAGCACCCAATATCTGTTGTATTATAATAAAAAAGTAGTAACCATCCCAGAATCTAAATTCAATAAACAATTTTAAGCCTAAATTTAGTTTGAGCTCTAAAAAAGTAGTAATCCGTCTCAAAAAACAATTTTATTAGGCCTAAATTCATTACGCCATTAAATTAACTATGAGTTAGGAATGTTAGGGTTTTTGAAGTGAGCCTCTAGTGTATTATTCTTAATATACTTATATGGTATATACAATTTAGTGTACACGAGTTAGCATATATGCTTATTATTCTTATATATAAAGAGTTATAATTTATTAATAATGTTACGGATGGGTAACAGTGCGGGTACCTGCACCATTAGTGAACGGGGCGGTTTCGGGGTGGATAACGGGGCGAATTAATATAGAACCATAACCGCACCAGTATCCATTTAAAAAAATCGGGTATTCCCCGCCCCGTACCCATTCCCCAGTCAAACCGGTTTTCCCCATTTTGACCAAATCGGTTCGGTGCGGGTATCCAACGGGTCGGCCGAAATTGTCATCTCTAATGGTAACATGCACTGTGTGTGCCTTCATCGAATTACTTGAGTATATATAGCGTATGTACATTTGGGATAGCTATCTAGGTTGTTACAAATGACTAAGGCTACGGGAGAATAGTTAGCCTACTAGAGATACAACTGAATTAGAGATAACTACATATTAAATAATAATAATAATAATAATAATAATAATAATAATAATAATAATAATAATAATAATAATAATAATAATAATAAGTTGGCTGTGCGAGAATACTGCGGTAGTGCGGTGTGCCGTTTGGTTGTTATTCACGCATGCTATCATGCGAATATGTCTATCACTACTCATACTAGCCCAGATATTATGTCAAGGAAGGTATACTCGGCGAAAGGGATTTTAAGTCCACCCATCCTATGATCAAATCATAGTTCTTCACTTTGACTTAGGTGGGCAACTGTCACAGCTAGGGCTTGGGAGACTTGCACTTCAGTACTTAACTTCATATCAATTTTTCTTATCCTTGCATTTGTCCAAATGTTTGAATGGATTTCATCCATTCTAAGAAGAGAATTTGATTATAAAATACAGTTGGGAAATTACCGATTCCAATGACATAAACTAAATGCCCCTATGTTCCACATGTCTCACTATCATATTTCAGGTAAGCTTGAAATCTCATATTTACTGCTTTGAGACAAATGTAATGTTTTTCTACCTGGTCAATTTTTTTTAGGCTAATTGTATCAGCTTTCCAGTTTGTAGTTTATCAATGTAAGAATAAGGAAAGATGAACACAAAATCGTAGTTAAATTGTGAAGTTTATTTTATTATGCAGGAATCATATCCGATATTAATTTTAACAGCCAAAAAACAGACAAAAATCTGTGAAAAAAGAGCTGTGTACTCTGGAAAGTATTCCTTCCCAGATGATCTGTTCCCTAACGACTACACTAAGCTATGTATCCACATTCTCAATAGATCAAATTAAGCTAGCTTGAATGGTTTCAAGGAATGTAGCCTCTGGACAAGGTATTGTGAGTCCTCCCATAGGATGATCAAACTCGAATTCCTCCTCAGCTTGGCTAAGCAAATCTTGGAATGATGAGTCCTTCAAGTATGATATCGGAAGAACAAAACGCTTCTTTTCTCCCTCGCCAACATAAACTGCAAAGTGACCCTTAGGGACTTCCCTTTCTCTGTTTGTTCTTGAAGAAGACCTCCTCAGGCTTGGCTTAGTTGCGCGCAGAATTTTTGCCATACTAACCGCCATGCTTGAATGTTTCTTGATTTTTGTAGCTAGAGGAAACTTTTTGCAGATGTAAACTGTTTCAGGAGTTGTGGGAAGATGAGATCTTGACTTGGGAGAATACCTAGCTGCATTGATGTTATATAGATCCACTGGAAGGAGGATTGAAAGCCACATGGAATGGCTGCCAGCTTTCAAGACATTAACAAATGGTTTTGCCTTAACAAAAAAGTACAACAAATGGCTTGTCTTTAGATATTAATCCCCACATGCTTGAACAGATGGAGATATCCTAACCACTTCTTTCTTTAAAATAAAGTCTAACCATTAGAATAAATCCTTGTATTGTTTGTTAGGACAAACCATGTGATTTCACATTTTATGGTTTGTGCAAGGAAAAAAATCCTTATTCTATAGGTTTATGCTGTAAGCTAAAATGCCCCACCACCAACAAAAAAGGCCTAAATAGATTAGTTCCATATGCTTTTTCATGAACAAGGTTGGAAAATCAGAAAATGTACGTTGTTTACTCATAGAAGTACTGTCAAAGATTTTTGTAGCCTATCATGCAGAAAGCATTTAACAATAATTAATTTCAACTTTTCTCTATGATAGATTATAAGTGCAAGTCCTATTGCAGTATATACATTATACAGAATACGGTAATCACATATATCTTAAAATCTTTGCTAAACATGAATACAAACTGACTGAGTGGAGCTAGGGGCGTAGCTAGGGGAGGGCCAGCCCTGGCCCAGCCCAAATTTTAAAAATGTCTGTTTTTTTAGTGTAAAAAATTCTGTGTAACTTTTTTTCAAAAATATTGTTTGTACCTGTCCAGTCCGGCCCTTGAGTGGAGCCATTAGACAATGAAGGCATCAAGAAATTAGCCCAGGATCAAGGATCATCATTCATTCAAAATTAGCCCTGGGTTTACAGTAATAAGTTTTTCTAACATTTCTGATTACAACAGAAATCATGTTTCAAAACTTAACTCCGCTAAACTGATACGTATGCGGTTTCTCAAAATCTAAATGTCCTTTTCGAATCAAGATAAAATACTAATAGAGAGAAAAAATGACTAGATTTGTACAGGTAAACTCCTCTCTTTTATTAAAAAAAATTCCCACGCAACTGAGCTGCTGTTAGAGTCTCTCAACTCTCAAGGTCTACTAAGTACTCAAACTGGAGATGACTAAAGGTACTGTGATTCCACCCAGTGGATGATCAACTATAAATTCTTCATCAGCTTGAGATATCAGGTCTTGGAATCATTGATCCTTCAAGTATGATATCAGAATGTCAAAGCACTTTATTTCACTTTCGCCCGCATAAACTACAAAGTGCCTCTAATTAACCTCACTTCTCTATATTTTCTTGGAAACAAATGTGGTGGTATATATTTCCTCCCATAAGATGATTAAATCTGAATTCGTCCTCAACCTGACTAAGCAAGTCTTGTAATGTTGAGTCTTTCAAGTATGATACCGGAAGGACAAAACACTTCTTTTCACCCTCACCAACATAAACTGTAAATGACTCCTAGGAACCTCACTAAGTGTGAAATTGACGTGACTACAAGTATTGTCCAGTCCCTAAAATATAAGCCTTTCATTCTTATTGTCATCAAAGGATTGCATAAGGTCTATATATAGCTACAACTAGAGCTGACTACAGAAAGTGAGCAAAGCCCAATATACCCAGGATTAGGGTCTCAAGGTCCAAGAGACATTCTTTGGGAGGTGGATTCTGGCATTGCACACATTTAAGAATAATTGAAATTCTCAATATTATTTACGCTACCTTACAAGTGCACAACCCCTTGCAGTGTTTTCAGAGTTTGATAACTTAAGCACCAAATTATTGTGTTGCAACGATTAGATCATGAATAAATTAGTTCAGGATCCAGTGGTAGCTAATTACGAGTATAATCTTATTCACTATGTTCAACAGAAGTTGTATAAATATGTGAATATTTTAACATTAGAAATTGCTCTAAACAGGAGCAAAAACGTTTTGAAATTCCAAAATAGGAGTATTATGTTTTTTATTCCCTGAATAGGAGTAATTTGTCAAGTTTGGGAAAAATGCCATGTTTTAAAGCCTAGTAATGCCAAACTTGGCAGAAATTTACTCCTATTCAAGGAATAAAAAACATGATACTCCTATTTTGGAACTTCAAAACTTTTTTACTCCTATTTAGGGAATTCTCTCTTTTAACATTTATGATTACAAGAAAATTCACGTTTTTTCAAAATTTTAACCTCACTAAACGAACTTGCATGCAGTTTCTCAAAACTTGTATGTCCTATTCTGATCAAGAAACTATATAAACAGATGTGAAACACATCTGTAGATTTGTAGAAGAGAACTCTTATTTATAACAAAGATTTACCCAGAAACTCAGCTGCTGGTAGATTCTCTCAGCTTCATCTATTAAAAATGGAGATGAAAAGATATATTTATTTATTGTAGCAGAAGCAGCACAGTCATGGCTTAAAAGGCCCATCCATGTGCATTTTAAGAAAAGCTCCAACTTCATATTAATAGCTCTGCAAAACAAATACTAATTACAAATTAAACAGATCTTCAACTTTCCGTTTACAACTGTAACTAAATACTCTTCCCATTTCTAAATCTTCTCATACCATCATGACACCTACTTTTTTGGATTTATACTTCATTCCATCACACTTTCATACCCTCAATAATTAATAACCCTTTCACTATTCATAATCTCACCCACTTTCAAAGTGAGAAGATCCTAACGTTACGGCCTTAGGGAGGTAATATACAGTTTTTCTTTGGAATGGGAAAGGAGTAAAGCATTACTATAATATAAGAACGCTTTATCAATCAACTTTTTCTTTGACAAATATATTCCTCAATCAACTGTTTGAGCTACTAGCTTCAGTTACTGTGTTGTGAGTAAAAGAGAAACTCAGAAAATTCTCCAGGTATTGAAGTTATAGTATATTCTCTATATCAACTGTACAAGTATGTCATATACCCAAAAAGAATTCATCACTAAACTAAACTATGCCATATCTATCTGTATTCTATGATGATGATCAAAGCGAGCTAGAGATTATGTCAAGGAAAGTAGCCTCGGGACAAGGTATTGTGAGTCCTCCCATTGGATGATCAAATCCGAATTCTTCCTCAGCTTGACTGAGCAAATCTTGGAACAAAGAGTCACTCAAGTATGATATCGGAAGGGCAAAACGCTTCTTTTCACCCTCACCAACATAAACTGCAAAGTGACCCTTAGGAACCTCACTTTCTTTGTTAGACCTTGAAGATGACCTCCTGAGGCTGGGCTTAGTAGCACGCAAAATTTTTGTCATACTGATAGCCATGGATGAATGTTTCTTTGTTTCTTTAGCTGTGGAAAACTATATGTAGAGAGATTCTGTAAGGAGTTTTGTGAAGAAGGTATTATGAGTTGGGGAGAATACCAAACTCTGTAGTGCTTATATAGATAGATCCATTGAGAGGCTGATTGAGTGAGTGGCTGAAAGATATCTACGTGGGAATCCTGCCAGCCTTCAAAGATAAGAGACATCAACAACTGGTTTTATCATATTAATACAAGAAGATGGCCTGTCTTTACACATCATTCCCTACATGCTTTAATGAATATTCAGCAGGTAGGGTATTCTTTACCCGATGATTCAATAAATCTTGAACAGATGGGGATATCCTAACCACTAATGTCTTTACAAGAAAGCCTACTAATTAGTTTGAATTCCTAGAGTATTAAAAACAAACCATGTGATTTCACTTTGTATGGTTGTAGTGCATTGAAAAACTCCAGATTCCGTAGGTTCATGATGGATGGTGAAAGGCTCCCTCCACCAAACAGCTGGCTGTGAGGTTGGTATGACTCAGATATTATCACATGGTATTGTCTTTAAGCATCATTCCCTATATGGTTTAGTGAAATTGAACACATGGTGATAGCTCAACTAGTAGGAGACCTGTCAAATGTGTGAGGGAGATGAATGGTAATATCCCAGGAAAATATATTGGTAATTTGCACCCCATTTTATTGTCCAAATTAGACTCTGCATCTCGTTTTTAAAAATTTTTGTTTATGCACCCCAACCCCTTACGAAAAGACAAAAAATGTCTCTCCATTAACAATTTCATTGGCCTTCAACATATTCCGGATCGAGGGCATTTTTGTCTTTCCATACGGGGTTGGGGTGCAAAAACAAATATTTTTTAAAACGGGATGCAAAGTCCAATTTGGACAATAAAATGGGGCGAAAACTCAAATTACCCCAAAATATATCAATTGGTAAGGAAACATACCTTGTGATTCCTAATTTTTATGTGCCTGGAAAAGGCCACACTTCAGATCATATGTTTTTCTGAATGGCTAAGTGGCCCCATATGTCTGGTTTGCACATGGTTTTACATTCCTCGATTTTCAAATGAAATTAAAGCTCGTCCTAAACACTTAAATAGCTCACTTTCTATGCGTGGTTTCTGCTGATCTTGCTCAATACCATATCTGTTCCAACAAGATGGCAGAAGTTCGCTGTTCTGAATGAATATGATAGCATTTCCAGGACTAGAACTATAATGGGTTACTTGGCTATCTGGTTGAATTTGGCAGACAGTTGCATTGCTCGTCTCAGTTAATTCATTCTGGTGTCCATCTTCGTAAAGTTTATTCTTTCATTTTATTAGCATTTAAATAGTGCAGCGGGGTTAGTGAATCATTTAAGAGAACAATTACTGCTTTCCCTTGAAAGAATCCATGAAGGCACAATGCTCCTTATTAAACTCTGTGGGGAAATGGGAATCAAGCAGAGAAGCTCCAGAGTTCAGAGAATCATCATCTTTCTTCTTCTTTATGGTTGGCTCACAAAACTTTGTTTCTTTCGGCATCATAGAGGCTAAAAGAATCATGGGAGGCATTGCTGACAACATAGGTGATATACTAATCATTGGGCAGCCACTGTAGAGTTAAATCTGCTAAAAGCTTGGTCACAAATAATATTGCAGGAGATTAAGGGAGTGCTCTTTTTAGAAATACATACATTACCAAATGGAAGGTTCTCTTTCAGGGAGTTTCAGCTCTTCAAGAAACTTG